GAAGCAGTCTGCAGGTGTTTATAGAAGAGATACTAACCTACAGAATCACATGTGCTATCACTGTCAGAGTCAGAATATGATCTAGTTGGCGGTGTGGATATTCTGAGAGATCTTAGACCCATTAATTCACCTTCATTGGAGTCCTGACCAGGGGCACCTTCACCATTTGCTTGACTACCTTCACACCATTCAGGGTATCTATCTCTGAATGCTCTAAAACCATCTGTAAAGAAAAAATCAATAAATTGTAAGGAATGTACATTAGATTAATAAATAATAACAGAGTATAACATGCACTGCATTGTTGAATAAAGAAAACTTGGTGCAACTATAGCAGGGATTTAAGTGTTTGGCTGAACGACAATACCCTTCGTACAAATCAATATTTCATTCACAACTGTTCTTAATGTTTGAATTGATATGCATAAGGGTCTTTAAGTTTCTGGTATAGCAAGCATAATAACAGTACTCTATTGTTGTTTGCTCTACTTGCTATTTGCATCAGTAACTCTTGAAGATACAACAGAAATATTAAGACATATTTCTGTGTTTCCTTACCCATTAAAATAGCTACACATCCTCCACTACTTCTAAGTCTTCGACATAAAACTTGAATTGTTTCACCCTGATGTCCCGCAGGGTCTGTAGAGTCACCAATCACTACAAATGTCCCTCTACTACTCTCATCGCCACACAGAAACACTTCCACTCTGTTTCTTAGATCTAAGCACCTTATTGTTGACAGTAAATCAACTTTACCAGCTGCCAGCCGCCTCAACATGATGCTAGGTATAGCTAAAGGAACAGAGCCCCTTATATGAGCCTCAGAGAAATCAGCATGTGACCTGCAGTCTAGGATGAGCAGCTTGTTCGGACCATCAATGGATCTGAGTTCTCTGAAAAGCCACTCTGGGTCCACTAGATCCTCCTCCATAACATTTCCACCTGGCATGTTGCAAGCTTTAATTCTGAAATTCCTGATGCTTCTTTGGCCTTTGACTTTTCTCCTCTTAGAACACACCTACAATCTCATTTAATTTCCCATCATGTTCCAAGAAACACATTTTACAGGGATGAAAAGGAATCTTTTTCTTGCTATGGCACTTTGGAGCAACGCTTCATCACTGATTCCTCAGTGTGACATCATTCTAACTCATGGAACAACTCTGCTTACATGTTCATCATGCTGTACGTACAGTGTAAGACAAGTGTGTATATACAAGAATCAGCGCGCGCGCGCGTCTATGTGCACGCGTTCCATGCATCTACCCTTAAACAATTAATCCAATAGGACAGAAATGGCACTTGAAGTTGTACGGCGGGAGTTGTCGCGACTCAACGATTCCTCACGTGTTGCCATCACTTCCTGCGGCACTCCGATGCCCCGTATATACGCTCTACTCCGCTGCCGCCGCCGCCTGCAGCTCGTCTCGATTATTGATCCTTTTGTAAATAAAGACGACAGGTCCAATTATTGCGAGAGTAGCGGAATGTTTCGCCTCGCCTAGCAAATGCATCCTCGCCCATTTTTTTGAACGACTCGACACCACGTCCAGTATTGTCCAACCGACATCGGTGGCATTATCCACTTGACTGGAGGGACAGACGCGCGCGCGTTCTGTATATGTTGTATCTCTTCACCGTGTGCTTCACACTCGACGTTGCAATCGACTTCTCTCTGGGTCTGGGATGCTGCGCGTACGCTTCTGGAGCCGCGTGAACGGTCGATTCGAATCGGTCGAGTGAACGAGGTACTTCGTCGGTGAGATTGGTCCGTATCTCGGCGCAGCGCGACTCGAGACCGTCGCCCTCACCTCACGAATCCCTCCAACATTGCCTCGACGCGTCTTCCCTCGGTTGCCGTACTGTCGACTTCCTGTTCTTTTTTTCTTCCTCTTGGTCTCCCTCCTTCTCTGTCGTTCGCCGATTCTTGTGTACCTCTCGCCTTCTACTACACCTTCTATCTCACTTTGATGACCAGAACCGCGCAGTACACTGCCTCTTTCGCACTCACGCGGCCTTCTAGCCAGCCTGCTGCAGGCCACACCTTACCTCGAGCGTTCTTCCGTCCAGAATGGGCAAATGGCGCTGATCATGCTTAGCGTAGGGGAAGCTGGTCCACGCATTGATTGGCGCTTGGTCACGTGGTCAACGCCGCTCAACCAATCATGGCCTAGACTGACGTCAGTTCATTGACAAAAGATGTTTTCATTAACAAGGCGTGGGTAGATGGGTCGGGGGTCGGTACTGACCGACTCGCTGCCAATGTTGAAGAGAGGAGACGGCGGGGGACCAGCGTACACTACACGCTCACTCTCTCACGCGTGCGTGGGCGCATATTATTACGAGAAACACGGCACCGTCTACCGAAGTCTACTTCGTATCGACGTGCACACACACTCGCGTGCACGTGCTGTGACCAGGCACGGCGGCATGCTCCCCGTCACCCCGTAGAATTTCCATTTTCCTTTTAGATTGTCCGCAGGTGATTATGGTCGATGTTATTAATGGTGGAAGCTTTGGAGATAGAGCACTATGTATTATTTCCATTTCTGTTTGTTTAACTAGATATTTTGTAGGAGTTCATAGTTCTCAAAGAATTGAATCTCCATCCCCATCTGTTGAAACATTACAATCAAATTATTCCAAGTGCGGATATATTTAGAGTAAAAGTTTCAAAATATCATACTTTTCACCTGATAAAGTTTTCATAGACACTAAGAACATTGGAGCAAAGTATTATTATTTCATTTAATTTTGTATGTAATCTGCAAACTTTGTAAATACGTTTAGACCATTGGATGAATGATATTCCTAAATTTTCTTCTTTAAAAGACAAGAAATACCAGATTCTACATACAAGTTGCAAGGAACAAATACTTTAAATAACCATATATAATACTTGAAATGAAATATACAAACATTGAATGATACCCTTTAAATATTACGCCCCTGGGTTCTGTCGCACTGTACGTGAAACCTCACCTCGGATCGAGCAGCCTATCAGGCGGCTCTCAGGCGTGGGCTGGCATTCCATTCATTTGGGCTGCCTGTCGTTGAAGATTTTCACGTTCGATCACGCGCAGGGCCACTTTGTCGCGACCCCTAGAGAGAACGTCGCCTGGAGAAAGAGTTGGTCGGTGGGAGGGGTATGAAAAGGGCCTCGTGTCGGTGGCCTTCAACAGAGCCACGGGACGAATTTCGATTCGATCGCGTGGGAGCGTGATAAGGTGAGCGTACTACGCCGTCCTTGATGCTCCACGCTCGTTTCGATCAATGACGCTCGGCGAGATTTACGTAAGAATCCACACCAGTATATCGATACCTTGTTACGTTTACATTTTTCAATAGTCGCGCGTGGAATAGTAATTACTCCAGCTTGCATTATTATTAATATTCGATGGGGCTGCAACGTGTCACTATTGTACTGACGTAGCCTGTATGAAAATAAAGAGTACCTTTATTAGACTCTGTGTTTAATATAGCTGCATACAGAGGCAATATATGGATTGTACTAAATAGTAGAATATTTTGCTATATATAGCAATACCATTGTTAGTCCAAGCTGATGTCCAACATTAGAACCTGAGACTACAGACTGCATTAAATGGACTATTATAACGGTCGTAGGCTGTACCTTATATTTAGCTAGAAATTGGAATAGACAAAGGGTACCAAAGGTATACGTTACCAGGTTGTATATAGGTACCTGAGCCACCGGACGAGCTATTGACCGGGGCGTGAGCCTGCATTTTTCGACCCTGTGCATCGCTAATGAGGCCCATTAAAGCGATTATCGAACAGCAGTCAGCGGGGGAGAAAGGCCTAAGGTGCACACTGTGATATCATTATGGCAGTCACACGGCCCGGTGTGTGTACGCTAAGATGACGTAAGTGATACCTGTTGATGACCTTAACAGGTGTGCATACTTAATGTGGCACAGGCATTACGTATTTCGTGATGCAGTCGCGGAAGTCGTGGCATTACTCAATCACGATTCTATAGTATGCCTCGCTGCTCTTTTCTCACGAATACCCTTTCCATCATTGAAGCACGCCTTACTTTTACCACAATTATGTTTTGAACCTGAAAATTACATAATGTCAATTCACTCGTGCAGTAGACCAGCGTCTAATTTTTCGTATCAAACGAATATCGTCTGCAGGAACTCAGTTGCAATGAAGATTTCAATTACTACACACAAATAAGATAAATAATAATTATATACGCAATATATGTAATTGTTTTTTCTCTTAGTTTGAAGTTCAATAAACAAGTGAATATAAAAGGAAATCATATTTACTTTTACTCCCTCTATACATCATAATTAACACATTGAATTACACAATGTCTTCTGTTAATTTCAAATTCAATAAGCAAGTGAATTTACATAAAATTCTTGTATACTTTCGCTCTCTGTACTATATCACAATTTGCACGTTGAATTACGTTTGAATAAATGTACAAAAATTTTTCAAAATATTTCTAAGAAATTTAACAAAAACCGAAGTAAAAAACAATTAATAAAATAGTTTAGTACATTTGACAATATCATAGAACAAAGTGTGCTCTTTCGTTTCTAACATTATGAACTAAAATTCGTAGTCAATGTATTAATTGATACATTATTAATCTGAAAGGCTGAAAACGCCTGACCGACCGCAACCTGCCTTTCAAAAACACGTTAAAACATACGCATAAAGCAGGAGCGGACGTCAAGAGCGGATCTTGGAAAGGAAACATCCGTTTCCATAAATCCGTGGCTTGAGCATCGCCTAGCGTTTAGTTGCGTCTGATTCCTGCAGGTTACCGGAGAAGGAAACCGATTATCGGGTTCACAGTGGCTTGCCAGAAGCAACGTCAAACACTGCTCGTATAGACGAGCAACATCGAGGTAGCAGGGGCGGGTGTACGCACCGGAAGTAATACTCCCTGGCACTTGGCCGGGCATTAGTGCACGCACTCGCCAACGTGTACGTGAGCACGTTCGCTGGTGGCGTGGGCATGTGCGTATGATTACCACGAAAAGCGGCCCCAGGTTGACAGGAAATGGTTCGGGATAAGATAATGACGTTCCTCGCTTCTCTTGCATCCGGCAGCTTTCTTCGCTAAGTGTGGGCTCAACATTGTGAAAGACTCCTTCAAACTACAAAAATTTTCTCATTTCAATTTCCATACTGATAAGACTAACGCGACAAATATTTTGGATTGAAGAGCAGTACTATAGGTAAAAAAAAAATAGTCGTCTAACAATAAGTCCTCTACAGAGTTATTCAAAACATACCAACGTTGTGAAAAACACACTGGCCCTTGCAAGATCTGTAACAATAACTTTAATTCTATAATACAATAAATGAAATGAAGGACGAATCGTGATAAAAAATAGTATACATCCTGGGTTCTCTACAAAAACGAAAACAGACTTCCAAGTATGGTACATATTCTTCAGGATTATTCAAATTACATAGGTATACAAGCAGCCCTTCTCTGTGAACGATCGTATCCTGTCCTAGTTGATTAATGAAGTGGGAAAAAAATCGCATCTGAAATATCATAAAAAGTTAAAAAATCTTGTTTATAAACTTTACAAATATTTTATAATAATAATACAAGCTAAACCTCCTTAACGTACGCTATGTAATTTACCTACACGTTCGAACGTCGTGAGAGGCATCGTAGCGGTGTATGAAAATTTTACAAAAATATTTTTATTTCAATACTGCGAAAAAACAAGTAATATAATGAGTGTCTTGCAATAGAATACAGTACCTTGGGTCCAGAAATAGCCACTTGAATTTTTTCAAGGAGTGTTTGAAATAATCAAACCGGCGACTTTCTTACGTGCACGATCGTCGATACACATGTCAGCGAAAATTAATTCGAATGCAAACAGTCCTAAGAATGTTTAGTAAAAATAAATTCTTAATACATTCTTAACAATACCTTGTAATAGCTTTTTACCATACTTACGTAGTATACGCTGCATAATTTTCCTGCACGTTCGAACATCGTGATAGACTTCCTCACGTTAAGCGAAATTTTTGCAAAATTTTTTTAATTCAGTACCACGGTAAAATAAATAATATAATAGACGTTTTTTAATCAAATTCAATACTTTGGGTCTAAAAACAGTTATTTAAATTTTCTCGAGAGCTATTTAAGGTAAACAAACGAACGGCTTTC